CAATGGTGGGCATGCGGGAGGCGGCCAATCGATGTTCTCTCTCATCAATGTTTCTACGCCTCTCTCCCTTTCCCTTTCTTTCTCTCTAAAATCAACAAAGAAAAAAATTGTTTTAATAAAATAAAAACTTTAAAATTATTTTTAAAATGATATTTCAATGAAATATTTGTTGAACAAGATTATGTTTGAGAACTCTTTCAGCAGTATTTGAGTGCTACTACAAGGCAGGTAGTAGTGGTAGGTAAGGCAAATGTAGTTCCTGCCTTCAGAGAGCAGAATGCTCAGAGGAAAGATGTCATATATCAAACAGGAAATAAACAAACATGGCCGTAATTATGTACTGTGAGAAGTGTTTTCTACGAAGGAAAGGAATGGGGTGCTCTGAGAGAATAATGAGGAAATTGGATGAAGTGTTCAGTGAAGACTCTACAAAGAGGCAATATTTCAGCTGACTCCTAAGGGAAGGATAAGAGTCAGCCTGTTGAGGTGATGGGGAGAAGAATGTTTCGGGGAACTGTATATGTGAAGCTCTGAGGCATAAAAGAACTTGGAGATTTTGCAAAATTAGAGAAGACCCGTGCGAGGAGGAAAGAATGTTACCACATGACATTGGAGCAATGGGCAGCTCCCAAGCAGGCTGGACCCACACCTTGTTTTATGATGTTTTGATTTGCTACAAAGTACAATGGGAAGCTACTGAAAGTTTTAAATAGGGAGGGATATGAGCCAAATTATATTTTTAAAATGTCTTTCTAGCTACATATGGAGAATACTACTCCTGGCACAGTTACAAAAGTAGGAAATTCTTAAATATGTTATGTGCCCTAAACCTGTTTGGCTGCCTGTTGAAGAATATGTTTCCCTTCTCAGATTAATGTTTTTAAATTACAAATGGAACTAATTATATTAAAATATAGTTCATCAGAATAATTTTTAGAAAAATATTTGTGATATATGCATAGTCCTTTATTAACTGATCATGTAAGATCTAGTAGTGGGTCAATAATTATAAAGTGGGTGAACATAAATGAAGTGTTGAGATGTTTGCAATAACTGTCATATGAGGGAAAAGATTTGATTTCTATTGGTGATGTCACAGAAATTGCTAATGCTACTGTAGTGTGTTATCTACATCTAGATAACTAGTAATGGAAAGAAATGCTAAATGTCCATTGAGGTTAGTGAAAATATAGATGTAAATTTTAAACAATCATTGAAGTTCATAAACTGCCCCCTGAATTCTACCCATAGACCCAGTTTGAGATGCTGTACAGAATACCACACACCATGTGGCTTATACACCATCGAAATGTATTCCTCACAGTTCTGAAAGTGAGAAGCCCTAAGTTAAGGTGTTGGCAGATTTGGTGTCTGCGGAGAGCCTGCTTCTTGGTTATAGAAGGCTGTGTCCTCACTATAACCTTACATGGTGGAAGGGGCAATGAAGCTTCTTGGGGTCTCTTTTATAAGAGCTCTAGTCCTATTTATGAGAGCTCTGCCTTCATGACCTAATCACCTCCCAAAGACCCCACCTCCAAATACCATCACATTGGTAATTGGGATTCCAACATATGATTTTGGGGAGACACATTCAGTCTATAGCAGATCCCTTGGGAATTTAAACTTAAGAGGTTATTGCACTAATCATGGAGAAAAAAGGGTACAGGCTTCAAGTAGGGTAGTAGTAACAGAGATGACAGTAGACAGATTGGAACTATTTTTGGAAGAAGAATCAACAGGACAGAAAAAGGAGATCACTTGGAGTTGTTGGGGAACTCTTCATGGAAAAACTAGGCCTAGGGATGTAAAATGTAACAGAGCCTGTGCACAAAATGTTAAAAGGAATAGTCAGAAAGCAAGATTTGCCAGTGGATGATTGCTGTGAATCATTGTAAGGTAGGAACAAGGCTGACAGCTGTGGGTTAGAAAGGAAGAGTGTTCATGAAGATAAGTTAGGAACACCGAGACCCGTCACTCGGCCACTCATGAGCTTGGGACCTGAGGCAAACACTTACCTAATGAAGCCTCAACTTCACATATTAAAGATGAGGATAATAATAGCTTGTGACTCATAATGTTGTAGGGATTAAATGAGTTATTGTCTGTAAAGTGGCTAGCACAGTTCTGACATATAGCAAGGGCAGATAGATATTAGCAATTATTCTCTTACTGCTAGGATTCTGACATTGTTTTGAACCATCACCCCCAGGGGACCGCAGTCTAGTTGAAGAAACAAGATGAAACACATAATATATGTTGAGAAGGAAATCATTCAGAATCAAGTGGTCAAATATAAATGATGAGCAATTCTAAGCTTTTAATTTTGTCCAGAATAGCACTTTCTGTTTCATAACAAGATTTTGAGAATTTCTGCCACATATTTGTGTGTGAGCATTGCAAATGAGTGATGATGGTGCTGGATCTCGTCTTAGCAAGTGAGTTTTAGGTTTTACTGCTGTCCAGTCTCTGCTGCTTACAGCTAAGCTCCTGTTTGGTATAATGACTATGGCTCAAACAGTAAAAGGGACAAAAAAGTAATCAAGATTCTGAAAGTCTGTTCTTTGCTTTCATTTAGAGGAGCTAAGAACAGGATGTTTCCTTTCATTCTGTCATAGTAGCATTTTATAAAGATGCACAAAGAATTTTAATCAACCTTTAGAACTAGCCCTGCATTTGAGTAGTTTGTGTGTGGATAGCTGTGGCTTAATGGCAAAACATAAAAGGGTTCAAGTTCTTTTTCTGCTGTGTACTTTGCTATGTGACATTGAACAACTCATACAATGTGCTGAGCCATAATTTTTCATTTTTAAAAAGAGTATAACAGTTTCTACCTCAGAAGTATTGTGTAAGTCAAAAGAGGAAACTTAGCGCCTGCTTTTGTGGCTCAGTGGACTGAGCATCATCCCATGGACTGATTCCCGGTCAGGGCACATGCCTGGATTCCGGGCTCAATCCCCAGTAGGGGACGTGCAGGAGGCAGCCAATCAATGTGTTTCTCTCACATCTATGTTTCTATCTCTCTCTCTCTTCCTCTCTCTCTAAAAAAAAAAATCAATAAAATATATATATATTTTTTTTTTTTCCTCACCCGAGGACATTTTTCCATTCTTTGTTCAGGTAGAGTGGGAGGGAGAGAGAGGAACAGAGAGAGAGAGAGAAACATCGATGTGAAGGGACACATCAAGTGGCTGCCACCCTCACGACCAACCAGGGCCGGGGACAATCTGCAACCGAGGTACGCGCCCTTAGCAGGAACTGAACCCGGGGTCTCTCAGGACCGCAGGCCAACGCTCTAACCGCTGAACCAAGCTGGCCAGGGCTATTTTTTTAAAAAAAGAGAAAACAAGTCAATGTCTGGAACAAAATAGAAACACAATAAAAATATTTTTATAAGATTGCCTATTGAAGAGTGAAACTTTAAGCCAAAAACTATAACAAGAGACAAAGAAGGTCACTATATAATGATAAAGGAGTCAATTCATCAAGTAGATATAATAATCATAAGTATGTATGTACCCAATATTGGAGGACCTAAATATATTAAGCAAATATTAACAGAGCTGAAAGGAGAAATAGCCAACAATACAATAATAGTGTGGGACTTCAACACCCACTTTTAACTATGGATAGATAACTCAAACAGAAGATTAGAGGAAATGTTGGACTTGACCTTAACTATACATTAGACCAAATGAACCTGACAAACATATACAGAACATTAAATCCAACAGCAGCAGAATCCATATTCTTCTCAGGTGCACAAAGAACATTCTCCAGGACAGGTGAATTGATAGGTCACAAAACAAGTCTTAGCAAATGTAAGAAAACTGAAATCATATCAGGAATATTTTCCAACCACAGTGGTATAAAACCAGAAATCAATAACAGGAGGAAAATGGGAAAATTCACAAGTTTGTGGAAATTAAACAACATACTCCTGAACAACCAGCCAATGGATAAAGAAGAAATAAACAGGGAAATAAAAAAATATGTTGAAACAAACAAAAAAATTGAAACAACGTATCTAAAACTCACATGCAGCAAAAGCAGTTCTAAGAGAAAGTCTATAGTGACAAATGCCTACAATAAGAAAAAAAATATCTAAAATAACCTAATTTTATACTTCAAGAAACTTTAAAAAAAAAACCAACAGATTAAGCACAGCCTTGGCCGGATGGCTCAGTTAGTTGGAGCATTGTCCCGTCCCGTACACCAAAGGGTTTTGGGTTTGATTCCCCATCAGGGCATATATCTAGGTTTAGGGTTTGATCCCTGGTCAGGGCATATATGAGAGGCAACCAATCAATGTTTTCCTCTCCTTTCCTCTCTCAAACAACAACAACAAATCAGTAAAGGCATATGTATGGATGAGGATTTAAAAAAAAACAGATTAAGCACAAAATTAGCAAAAGAAAGGAAAAAATAAAGATCCGATCAGAAATAAATGAGATAGACCCAGAAAAACAATAGAAAAGACCAATGAAACTAAGAACTGGTTCTTTGAAAAGAAAAACAAAATTGACAAACCTTTAGCTAGACTAATAAAAAAGAGGAAAGACTCAAATAAGTAAAATCGGAAATGAAAGAAGAGACATTACAATTGATACCACATAAACACCACATAAAAAGCATCATAAGAGAATACTACGAACAATTAAATGCTAATAAATTGGATAACCCACTAACAGGGCTGTACAAATGCAGAATTGAGACTTGCGTGACCCTGACCAAGAGCATCTCCTTCAATTTAGTGCCTAAAGCGCCTTAATCCCCTCCCCCTAGTCCTGGATCTGCTTGCAACGGGTCAAGTTCATCGACTCCTTTCTTTGCAGAAGTTTATGGAGGCTGAGTAGCTTGCTTCACTTTCACTTGAGCTAGTAAGTGGCGGCCTTAGGATGTGAACCCGAATTCTTGAGGGGAGTTGGACACCAAAGCCTGGGTCTTGACTGCACCTGCATCGATACCACCTCTAAAGCTTTGGTTGTTGTCTTCCTTTCCAGGTATCCAAGGCAGCTGCGGACTTGATGGCCTACTGCGAAGCTCATGCCAAGGAAGATCCCCTCCTGACCCCTGTTCCGGCTTCAGAGAACCCATTTAGGGAGAAGAAGTTTTTCTGTGCCATCCTTTAAGTCTTCACGAGGAACCTGAAGAGCCTCGGGGCTCCTGGGACACTGATGTAGAGTTTCTAGCAAAGTGGGCGCCTTTCTAGTCCACAGCATTTAAAAAGAGGGAGGAGAACCATCCTGGAATCTCCAGGCTATGCATGTTTAAAGATTGGTCCCCTTTACGACAATGAAAGCCAATCCACACCCTGAGTTAAGATCTGTTACCTGCAGAACTGCCTGGAGGAGGGGACTGTGTAAAGATAAAATCCGTGTCATTTCTTTTCTGCTCTCCCTCCCGAAACCTCCTGTTTCTGCTTCATATTTAAAAAAATAAAATAAAAATTCAAACAGACAGCTGTACTGAGCTAAGATATGTCTGACCTTCTTGGAATGAATATTGCCTTTAGAATACCCTTTGATCAGCTGAGTTGTCCAGTGTAACCACGGTTCGGTTTAATGGCATTGATGTCTAGTCTTTGTGCCTTCCTGTTCTTTTCTCCTTCTCCCCAACCTTCCCTCCAGCCCCTCCCAGTAGAGCAGTACAGAGATCAGGCTGGACTTGTCTGTGAGACGGAACTCCAAGGATGAGCACCCAAAATGTTTAGGGAGATATTCCCCGTGGTTTATCCGCATAGTAATAACAAAAACAATGCCGGTTGTCTGTGTTCTCTTATCACTATTCCTGACATTTGTACATGATAGCTTTGATTCTGCAAGTAAAAGTAAATCCTGTGTTGTGACTGGTGCTTTCATATATTTGTGACAATCTTTGAGTAATATTGCATGAAAATGTCCCCGTGTTACATCCATTCAGAGGTTTTGTTGTTTTACTCTAATGCTTGGAAAAGGAATGAGCGAGAAAAGAAGCTGGGAAGGAAAAAAAAACTCAGTATCTTGGCAATTGGGGTTGCTTCAGCGCCTTAGCCATATTCATGGTGTATCTCCAACGTGGTTTCCAGAAGCTAAAGCATTTGGGTTTTATCTGGGATCCAGGGCATCACAGGTACCGCCAGCCGGAGTGGTCCGGGTCTACCCTGAGCGGGAGGTGCTTTGAACAAATTCCTTCTTTTTCCCAAATCACAGAAATTCTAGATTGAAAGAACTCGTTCTGTGCTCTTAAGAAAAATGTGCCCCCACCCGTTTTTCAGGAATCAGGAGAGGTGAACCCCCGGCACCGGAAAAACCCATTCTCAGAATCCCGGCTGTTTGCCGGCCAGGAAGACCGGGCAGGTGTGGCCGCCACCTCCGCCAGCCGGGGTCGGGCTCCTTTTCCCACTGAGATGGTTTTTGTGTGTCACTCACTTATTTTTTTCACTAGAATTTTTTTCTTTGTTTTTGTTCTCCATCTTGTTTGTTAGAGTCTCTCAGTCTTTATTTGCAACTTCCCTGCAGCTAGAGGAGCCCTCTCTTCCCAAGAGGTGATATTGAACGTGAGTTTCAGGGCAGCTGCAGCCTCCATTGGTAACGGGGGGCCCTGGAAGGCTTTATCACTTTTTTTTCTGCGCCATTCCTGGACAAAAGAGAGCCTCTCGTACATCTTGTTTGCTTCAAAATCCCAAAAGACCACTTCCAAATTAATTTTATTCTCCTCTCGTTCCTTATCCCCATTAAAAAAAAAAAAAAAAAGATGGAGAGGGAGGAAAAGAGAAGATAAAAAGACTTAATATGCCAAGGACAGATTTTGAAATGGACTTGGTAAATATCTCCCTTAGTTCCTTTTCATAGGTATGCTAGTAAAAGGATAAGTGCATCCAATTAAGGTTCACACCTGGGGTGAGGCAAAGCGAATACTGAAATATTTGTGAAAGGAATGGATGCATTTCTATAACCAGATACTTCTGTTCAAACTTTGGGATTTTGTTATAGTCAGTAGGATACAGATAAAGAATTACAGGGGAAGGACCCTGGAGGGGAATGTATTAAACTAAAGTGTTGTACCATTAGCTTAGTAAATCCGTGGAGTCAGCTAAAACCATATCCATTTGTAAAATGAGCCAAAATATGAACTGAATATGTGGTCACATGAAAACAAGTGAATAAGCACTCTTTGGGGGGTGACTGAGGCATCATTAAAAGACCCTGATGATTTTCATAATCTATACCATTTATTTTTCTTATAAGGAGTCTTTATATTTTCATGTAAACCTAGATCTTTGGAGCAATGAAAATGGAATCAAACTTTAGGAAGCACCATAATACAGCTCTGGTCATTAAAACTTAAGAAAGTGCTGCCCTGCCGGTGTGGCTCAGTGGTTGAGCATCGACCCATGCACCAAGAGGTCACCGGTTCGATTCCTGGTCAGGGCACATGCCCAGGTTGTGGGCCAAATCTTCAGTGGGGGGCATGCAACAGGTGGCCAATCGATGTTCTCATTGATGTTTCTTTCTCTCTCTAAAATACATAAAGAAAAAAAAAATTTTTTTAAGAAAGTTCCAGATTTCATGTGACCTTGGGTATAAAAGGAGAGAAAAGGTAGTAAAATAAAAGCCCATCTGAAATTAGGTTTAAAGAAAATGTTTTGGCTTTTTCATACTTTCATGTCCTACAGTATGGAATTATAAACCAGAGTCTTTATACGAGTTTTGGCTTATTGATATTTTTATTTATTAAGGGAGATAAAAACTTTTTTGATTCCTTATGCCTCTACAGAGCTTTAATTTTTTTAGAAATTCAACAATCATTTTCACCAGCATAATTTTATCTTAAGGGGAAACTTAGTTTAATTATTAAAGGCCCTAATTTCTGTGTATAATAGTAATAAAACCTGCCATAGAATTAAACAGTAACAATAACCCTAATATTTAGGGGGAAAAAAATCTTGCATCATTCTCAATATTAACTCCAGTTTCATTTTTTTTTTTTTAATTTTAAACCAAATACTATTTTATTTAAATTAGAGGTTGTAAATAAGTACTTTGATCTGAGGCTAATTTGCTAATAATCTTCTAAAGAGATTGCTTACCAAGAAAAAATTAAAAACCATTTCTTCATATACTCATTCACAAATGGAATTTAGAGAAACTGAGCATGCTGTGTTAAGAAATTTTTGTACTCTCTCTCTTTTTAAAAAATATTTGCTTCTAGCTGCTCCTGGCAATGGTGAATTGTTACATATACATTAATGTTTTCCCAGCCTAAAAATTGTTCATGTTTTTCCTATATAAGATCAATGGAGTATGTCTTTCAAAGAGAGGGAAATACAGAAATGTTAAAGCAGGAAAACCTGAATGCGATGTGTACATTTTCATCCCATATGGACCATTTATTTGTTTTAATAAATGGAATTTTCAGACTCATTTCATACGCAGTCAGTTTTATTGCGAAGGCCTGTGGACCACCTCACCCATCAGTTAATTTGGGGAGGGTGATAACACATTCTATGAATGTGGAAATGGGAATCCATTTATTTTCTTTAGGGTTTTGTTAACAGAGGTGCCCTAAGGAAGGAAAGACAAGAGGCTCTTGACAAGCCTTTGTCCCCGGTGTCTACATCCGAGGTGCAGGGCCTGGGCACAGAGGAAGACGATAGGGACACCCCCAGGGCTCTGCTAGACCACGAAGACAGATGCGCTGCATTCACATTCCAACATGCTGTAGGTCTGCCATGTGGGGATTTTCCCTTTTCCAAAAAAAAAAAAAAAAGAAGAAGAAGAACAGAAAGTGCTATTCTCCATTCGCTGTTCATGATTTTAAAAGAGTGCTAGAGAAGATAAATGCTTAGAACTCTAGATTCACTAGCTCTTCGTAGATATTCTTAGTCAAGAAAGGCTTCTATATGTCCTTCAAATTATGCCAATAATATACCGTTAGTAAAGAAAGAAATGTTGGATCTCCTGGGACTTGTGCCGATGACAGCTGAATCTTTAAACCTCTGATGACGGGGCCACTGGAGTTGGTGCATTTGTCCATTGACATCTCTGTCTCTTAGACTGTGGTCCCTGGACCACGTGCTTCAGAATCACGGCGGTGTGTATTAGACAGGCAGACACCAGGCCCTACATTAACTCAGAATTTCTGGCGGTAGCACTTAAAAAACACGGACCTGCTGCATGCTATCGTCTGGGACTACTCATTTCAGTACAGTTGACCCAGGAGTTAGAGGTGCTGACCCCCCTCTCCCATGCATATAACTTTGCATTCCCCCAAAACATAACTACTAACAGCCTACTATTGACCAGAAGTCGTACCAATAACATAAAAAGTCAATTAACACACATTTTGTTTGTTATATGTATTATATACTGTATTCTTACAATAAAGTGAGCTGGGGGGGGGGGGAAATGTCATTAAGGGAATCATAAGGAAGAGGAAATACACTTAGAGTACCGTGCACATATACTGCAGGGAACCACACCCAGGTAGACCTGCGCAGTTCAAACCCATGTTGCCCAAGGGTCACCTGTACTATAACAGGCAGGCAGCTTTTCCTAATGCGTCAGGAAAGGCACCACCAGTGATAAATACACTCGCTCTGATTCCTACAGCGCGGGAAGTGGCGCCTGGGCGCGAACATGTAACCGAGGGTGAGGATCCAGGCAGCTCCTGGGCAGGAGACACGGAGGAGGAAGCTGTGGGTTTTCACTCTGCTCCTGTTCTGTTGAGCCCCGGGGGAGGGTTGCCTCCAGCTCTGGTTCTTTAATAAGCTGGTCACATTTTAGTGCTCACAGTGACGTGGGAATTGGAGCTGGGTCAGCTCCAATCCACAAATTGCAAATAATTTGCCAAGGGAAATCCCTTTCCCTTTGGTTCTGCCCCAAATCTACATTTCTTCTATTTAGAACCAGGAGACTCAGGCAGAGTTTATTTTTAATGAAGGGGGTCATGGGCTCCCAGGCCTTTCCTCAGTAAGGACTCCTACCGTGTCCCCATGTCCATAATGAGAGAAGCCTGGGGCTGGATGTGCACCTCAGCTCTGGGGACAGAAAGATCGTGTCTGGTGACTTGGGTCCATACTGTACACAAGCAAACGAGAGCCCATCTGGCATGAGCTAGAGCATCAGAAGCATGCCCCAGAGCTCCCATGTGACCTTTGGCCAATCCTTGAACCTCTTCATGCTATAAGTGGGGGCAGGAATACCAGATTCACGTGCCTCACTGCGTTGTGAAAACCACCTGAAAGAAGGCAGGTAAAGGGCATCGTGAGGGAAGAGGTGATGAGTAATTATCACGCACTGCCTGTATAGCTTTCAAAGAGAGCAAAGGACCCTATAGTTCCTTCTCACCTCTTGACTCACCTTCTTTTTTAATTTTTACCTCCATAGCCCCTGGTTGAGACCCTCAGTGCCTCCTGTCTGAGTCCCAGCCACAAGCCACTGGTGTGGCCACTCTGATGCTCATCTCTTCCACTCTAAGCCATCCCACGTACCACTGTGTATTCATTCATCAGGACCCCTTTGGTTGCAAGTGGCAGGAAACTAACGGAAACTGGCTAATAACTGATGAGCTCAGAAATACATGCTACTTCAGGCTCAGCTAGATCCAGGTGCTCAGATGACATCATCAGGTGCACCCCTGGGCTCTGCTTTGCTCTGTGCTGGTTTCATTTTCAGACAGACTCTTGCCCTGCAGCATCAGGATAGAGTCAGCAGCTCCAGGCTTACAGCTCACTAACTGAGCAATCAGAGAAGAAAGATAACAGCTCCAGCCAAAGTCCCCGGCTGGATCTGTGAAACGCTTCCTAAGACTCTTATTGGCTGAATCTGGTTCACGTCCTTCCATCCCTGAACCAAGACGCAG